GGGATCATGACTATAAAGGGAGGCCAGTTGGTATAGTTGTGTGTTTTCACGAGCCTCATTTGCCTGCTTGGGCGCATAAAACTAGACAGAGACATAACCAGATATAACCAGAGTTTGGAGCTGCCAGGTGAATATGATAGAGGAGACAGAGACAAGAGTGTTGAGTGTCTATGCAAGGGAATGATTATAATGAAGGACCGTGGCATCTAAACCGACTGACGAGAGAAGAGAGGACATGAATGATAGTGATGAGGCCAAATAAAAAGATATTAGGGTAATGGATTGGAAGTTCCAGGGTGTCAAGAAATTGCAGCAGTTAGCAGGTTAGAGAGATTCAGTTGGAAAAAATACAAGTTGGGTTTGAGACAGTGGGTTACGCAGGGGTGCAGATATGGATAATGGCGCATTCTAGGGGTTCTCTGCAATTGACCTGACCACCCCAGCCAGGCCCCCCGCTAGGTCTTCTGTGTTTCAGATATTTTTCTGGAGATGTTGGCTCTCACCTCCAGTCTAGATTTTTTGAGTCGTGAGTACTTTAGGGCAAAGCCCAGATAAAGCAGGGCCAGCGCTTGAAGAGGGACATAGCTGCCACATAAAGCCTCATCCCCTGTATACTGTGGACATCATCTTGTGTACTACTGCCATCCCTCATTTGAAGGGCTTATAAACGCATTGAATCTTGGGGTTGGAAGGTCATCTATAAATAGTCATTTTATATCCCTACACCATGTTTTCATCACCAACTGCCATTTCTCTTTTCTGTGCTAGTTTTCAAATTACTTGAGGATCTGTGTTTAACCTATCTTTTAAAAATTGTGATTAAAATACATGCGACATAAAATTTACCATTGTAGCCAATTTAAAATGTGAAGTTCAGTTGCGTTAAGTACATTCACATCGTTGTGCAACCGTCACCATCCATTTCCAGAACTATTTCATCTTCCCAACTGACAATTCTGTACCCATTAAACACTAACTCCTCATTCTCTCTCTCCCCAGCCCCTGGCAACCACCATTCTACTTTCTGTCTCTGTAAATTTGACTACTCTAGATAGCTCAAATAAGTAGAATCATACAATATTTGTCCATTTATAACTGGCTTACTTCCCTCAGCGTAATGGCTTCAGAGTTTATTCATGTTATAGCATGTGTCAGAATCTTCTTCCTTTTTAAGACCAAATAATAGTCCTATTTCAGTGTCTGCTCTCCTTTTCCTGGGGTATATACCCAGAAATGGAATTGCTGGATTGTATGGTAATTCTGTTTTTTTTGTGGGATCGTTATACTATTTTTCACAGCAGCTGCGCTGCTTTACATTCATACAGCAATGCACAGGGGTTCCAAATTTTCCACTTCTTTGTTAACACTTGCTATTTTCATATAAGCTCTTTTTTATTCCCTCTCTGTTTGATACCCTGCTGGGCACATGATGCTGTATGAGTAAATAAAGAACTGTTATTAACCCTGTAGAAAAGGGAAATGAGATTAAACGAATCAACTTGTACTCAGCAAGCCCCACCTCACACACCTTGTTGTCTTACCGTACCCACATGTGGCTAATTAAATTTAAATTAATTAAAATTAAGCACATTTTTAAATTCGGCTCATCAGCTCATTAGTGACATTTCACCATAATAACTAGTGCTTATTAGTATCCAATATATTGGACAGTGCAGAATAGAACATTTCCATTATTGCAGACAGTTCTTTGGCTACTATATTGGACAACACTTCCTTTTTTTTTTTCTTTTTGGACAGCACTTTCTAGATCCTGGTAGCCACTTCTTTGTCTCACAAATCATATTTGGATAAGCTTTTCCAGAACTGGACAGCAAAATTTAAGATAAAAATCCTTCTTTTAGAAGGGAGGAAATATGCTGCCTAAAATGTCTGTGGCTCTTTGGCACATAAATGACTGCTCTGTGAATTCTCAAAAGTTTTATGTTTGAATATTAACTTGGACTTTTAGTGATCATGTGTTTCTGTTGCACTTGATAATTACCTTTATGAACACAGACTTATAAACTATTTAAATCTTTCTTTACGTCCTTTGAAACACTTACCTACTAAACCATAAGTTTTGAAAAACATTCTCAGAATCACAGTGGAGGCTGTGTCTATTCTACTTACTACTGTTTACTCAAAGCCTAGCACAATACCTCAGACATTGGAGACTCTCAATAAATATTTGTTAGATGATGAGTGAGTGAATGACCAAAGTAAGCCCCGAGCAGAACTTGGGGAAGCTCAGGGTACTGAGAGAGCATTTTTAGAGGGTGGCAGGCAGGCATAACAAAATTTAGGAATATGTCTCTAGCATTGATATAGCTTAAAAAGACTTTCTTTTTTTAAACAGAACATGGAATTTAAGTTATGTTCTTTTATCCCACTGTTGAAAAAGTAGCTTTAAAATTCCTATAAGGTTCTTGTCTATTGCATGTTTATAAAACTTCAACTCTATTTTATGAATACTTGCCACAATGAATATAACAAGAAAAAATGAATTCTAGATTTTATAATGTCAGCATGTGTGCAGATATCTTCTGTTTGCCCCTTCAGATCCACTTTCTACTACCCTCTATCCTGCTCTCAACCCTGGGAGGTTGATCTGAAAGGATTATTCTAACAGGCTCTTGCGCTCTTTGCTTCCCTTGGGTTTGGCTAATAGGAAACTCTTGCAGGAGAGCAGAAGCAGGGGATGAGGTCAGGGAATTTATTCGAAACAGAAGGGATCTCTGTGTCCCTCAGCATAAGCTCACCGTTCCTCTAAGGTGATCTGTTCTATGTGATTCCCTCTCCCTTCGTTCCAGATACCACTCTCTACTCAGGATTCTCAGGGCTGGGTTATGACAGCCCAGAGGTCCCTACAGTTCCCACTGTGCCTACACCTTTATAATAGTACCTTTATTTATAAACCTTCCTTGAATTGCGGGCTTCTCACTGTTGTGGCCTCTTTCGTTGCGGAGCACAGGCTCCGGACGCACAGGCTCAGCGGCCATGGCTCATGGGCCCGGCCGCTCTGCGGCATGTGGGATCCTCCCGGACCGGGGCACGAACCCATGTCCCCTGCATCGGCAGGCGGACTTTCAACCTCTGCGCCACCAGGGAAGCCCCGATACAGCATTCTTAAATGGTAGCTAGAACGTAGTGTCCAAATCCCTGCTTTGTTATGTTTATACCTACAGTCTACGAAAATGTTCCCTGATGATATTTTCATCTTCTTATTTAAATCCACTGGTTAGCTTTTTGAAGAAACAATGTTGTATGTCATATGATATAAATTTTTCTCTAGTACACTCAGACTAGAAAAATATTCTCAGATTCACAGACAAATCTTTTTGCATATAGCTTCTCTACATAAAATGTAATTTATGAAAATATAGAAATAAGATTTTATAAAGTAAATAGGTAAATTTTTAACATTTCAGATATCCCAATATCTAATAAGCTCTTTAAAGGTATGTGAGGAAATCGTACCTCAGTACTTCAAACAAGCCATCATTACTCAATATACACAGCTTACCAGAGAACACAGTTTCTAACCCTTTCTATACACTGAATGTTTCCCTGAAATTCATATGTTAAAACCTAATCCCAATGTGATGGTGTTGGGAGGTGGAGCCTTGGGAGGTGATTCAGTCATGAAGATGGAGCCCCCAAGAATGGGATTCGTGCCCTCATAAAAGAGGCCCCAGAGAGCTCTCTCGCCCCTTCTGCTGTGTGAGGACATAGAAAGAAGATAGCCGTCTATGCACCAGGAAGTGGGCTCTCACCAAATACCAAATTTGTCGGTACCGTGATCTTAGACTTCCCAGCCTCCAAAACTGTGAGAAATAAATTTCTGTTGCTTTCAAGCCACCTAGTCTATTTTTGTATAGCATGTAGCCCGAACAGATTGACACCTTCTTTTTTTTTTTTTTCAGTACGCGGGCTTCTCACTGTTGTGGCCTCTCCCGTTGCGGAGTACAGGCTCCGGAAGCGCAGGCTCAGTGGCCATGGCTCACGGGCCCAGCCGCTCCACGGCATGTGGGATCTTCCCGGACCGGGGCACGAACCCGTGTCCCCTGCATCGGCAGGCGGAGTCTCAACCACTGAGCCACCAGGGAAGCCCCTAGATTGACACCTTTGAAGCTCGAGATTTAAATGTACAATTAATTATTAGCAAATAACAGATCATTAAAAATAATAAACCCCATAATGCTAATACCTATATCAAAGATAACCAACACTTATCATCTGCATCACAAATGTATGAGGTACGCACAACTCAACCCCATTTGACAGGGGAGGAAATGAGCCTTCAAATCTGCTGTCCAGGGCTTCCCTGGTGGCACAGTAGTTAAGAATTCGCCTGCCAATGCAGGGGACACGGGTTCGCGCCCTGGTCTGGGAAGATCCCACACGCCACAAAGCAACTAAGCCCGTGCGCCACAACTACTGAGCCTGCGCTCTAGAGCCCACGAGCCACAACTACTGAAGCGCACGTGCCTAGAGACTGTGCTCCGCAACAAGAGGAGCCACCGCGATAAGCCCGTGCACCACAACGAAGAGTAGACTCCGCTCGCCACAAGTAGAGAAAACCCACGCAGCAATGAAGACCCAACGCAGCCAAAAGTAAGTAAATAAATGTATATGTATGTATATATATATATATATATTAAAAAAAAGGACTCTCCTGTCCACTGTCGCAGCACCAGCAAGCAAAGGACCCTAGATTCAAATCCTAGTGTCCAACACAAAAGTCTATGTTTACTGCCGCGGCCTCTCCCATTGCGGAGCACAGGCTCCGGACGCGCAGGCTCAGCGGCCATGGCTCACGGGCCCAGCCGCTCCGCGGCATGTGGGACCCTCGCGGACCGGGGCATGAACCCGTGTCCCCTGCATCAGCAGGCGGACTCTCAACCACTGCGCCACCAGGGAAGCCCAAGTCTATGTTCTTAACTACCAGTAAAGCATCCAAGAGCAACTCAAAGACCACAGAAAAAACAAAAAATAAGAACTTTCCAAAGCAAATAATTTATTTCATCGTGTCTCCTGCATTCAAAGAGCAATGTCAAAATCTAAGTAAGCTTAGAAAAATTACTAAAAAAAAAAAAAGAAAAGAAAAGAAAAAAATGCAACAGGTAGCTCTCATAGAAAAGCAAATCTCTTGTTTAGTAAAGCTTGTTTTTCTGTGCATGGTACACAAGAGGGGATAGAAAATGAGGGTGGAAATTGTACTGTTTTGGTATTAGTTAAATTTTACAGTTCCTGAAATGACACCATTGTATTTCTATTTTAATGCAAATTAAATGAAAACTTTCCTCTGCTATATTGGCATACTTGTTGTAAGAGGCCTGACATTTAGCATGTATTGGCTACTCTATGCATACAAATAGAACATTCTCTGAAAGAGAACGGGCTGAACAAATCTCGACTGCAGATAGCATAATTGATCTGTTTAATAGCTCAATAATTTTTCTGCAACTGATTTTGCATAACAACTTGCAAAAGTATTTTAAGATGAGACTGTTGCTCAATACTCACTTCTGGTAAACCCTTTTTTGCACCATAGTCCTGTCTGCAGAACTGATAAAAGTGAAACAAAAAAAGCGTAAGCAGAATGTAACAAACAAGCCAAGCCAGAATGTAACAAACAAGGTAATATTTAGTCATAAGCCTTTAAATACTGGTTTTGAATTTGAGTAATTAAATTAGTTCTCAAAAGTGTGGCTTTCACAGACTAAGTATTTTTACATCCATATTTTGTTCATTTAGAAGAATTTGTGCTATCCATTTAGAAACTATGTTTCTACAGCAAAAAGCCTTACTTAAGTTGTGCTATCCATTTAGAAACTACATGTTTCTACAGCAAAAATATGTGGTTTTCTTCTCTTTTTCCTCTTCATCCATTTTGTCCCCTTGCTGCAGCTCCATGTCTTTGTCTTATTTTTCCCTTTAACACACTCTTCAGATGGACTGATTCTTTCCTCAAAGATGGTTTATAATTTCTGTGAGTTCATGGACCACAACCAGCATTCTTTCATGACCCTAAAGAAAATGTAAAAATACAATATTGGTACCACAAAAAAAAAAAGTGTTTCAAAAGATGAGTATTTTTAAGATGAACTTAGTAAAAAGTGATACAGTGAAAATAGCTTGAAGTCTGAGAAGTGAACTCATAGATTCAATGCACAGTCTTTCCTTGAGGATACCTGCTCTTGCGATGATGATCTTGTTGAGAAGACTTTGGAGAAGCTGACAGATGTTCCCCTCAGGTCCACAGCTCCTTACCTTACTTACGTGTCCCAGTGTGAGCAGGAATCCTTGGTAGGAGCTGACCTGGTCCTGCATCACTAGCTCTGGGTGTTGAAAGCAGGCCACTCCATCTGACTTCTTGAAACCCTATTTTCTATAAGTTGATGGTGGCAAAGGTCAATTATGAAACAGGAACTTTTGACACAACTCAACATCCCTAGTCACAAAGAAACATTTAAAACACATGCCCCCGTGCAAATCAAAATTCGTAATTGATTACAATGCAGATATGAGTGCTGAACATAATCTATTCACGCCTTATTTCTTTCATGGTCATAGTACATCATTTCTCCAGCCTAAGTAATGAGTACACTCCTCTTCAAGGAAGAATATATGGCACCCAGTGTTGACAAATTACCCAAACATAATATAAATGCAAGGTAACATATAAACATGGTACAAATTCCTTATGACTACAGACTCTTTAAAAAAACTATAAAACCCAAACCAACCCACACATTACAAGTATAAAGTTAATAATATTAAAATAAACAGCATTGATTTAATGTACTTTTTTGTATTTTTTTAAATATTTGGCTGCGTTGGGTCTTCGTTGCTGCGCATGGGCTTTCTCTAGTTGCTGCAAGCGGGGGCTGCTCTTCATTGCGGTGCACGGGCTTCTCATTGCGGTGGCTTCTCTTGTTGCAGAGCACGGGCTCTAGGCACACGGGCTTCAGTAGTTGTGGCACGTGTGCTCAGTAGTTGTGGCTCGCGGGTTCTAGAGCGCAGGCTCAGTTGTTGTGGTGTACAGGCTCAGCCACTCTGCGGCCTGAGGGATCTTCCCAGACCAGGGCTCAAACCTGTGTCCACTGCATTGGCAGGCAGATTGTTAACCACTGTGCCACCAGGGAAGCCCTTGATGTTTTTTTTTGATGAAGCAAAACCACAAATGTTTGTTCCAAAAGTAGAAAAGGGCATTGGGGTTTTTTGTATTTCACTTATCTATATGGCTGTCTTTATTTTGAAGACAATGCTCATTTGAATGATCCTCCTTATCATGGCTATTATTTTTCCTTTTATTTCATTTTTTTAATATTTATTTATTTGGCTGTGCTGGGTCTTAGTTGCAGCACGCAGGATATTCGTTGCCGCGTTCGGGTCTTGCAGCATGTGGGCTCCTTTAGTTGCGGTATGTGCGATCTAGTTCCTGACCAGGGATGGAACCCAGGCCCCCTGCATTGGGAGTGCAGTCTTAACCACTGAACCACCAGGGAAGTCCCTGATTTTTCCTTTTAAACTATACATTCATCTTGAATCATTAAGGCAGCTTGATGATTTTTTTCAGCTTTATTGAGGTATAATTGACAAATAAAATTGTAAGCAATTTAAAGTATACATGGTGGTGATTTGATATATGTATACATTGTGAAAGGATTCCCACCATCTAGTTAATTAACACATCCATCACCTCACATATTTATCCTTTTTTTTTTTGGTGAGAACATTTAAGTTCTATTCTCTTAGCAAATTTCAATTATATAATGCAGTTGACCCTTGAAAAATATGGTGGCTAGGGGTGTCAACCTCCCACACAGTAGAAAATCGGAGTATAACTTTATAGTCAGGCTTCTGTAACCGCAGTTTCACATCCAAGTATTCAACAAACCACAGACCGTGTAGTATGCGTTTAATTGAAAAAAAAATATGTGTGTAAGTGGAACCATGCAGTTCAAACCCATGCTGTACAAGGGTACAAGGGTCAACTGTACAGTGTTATCAGCTATGGTCACCACGTTTTACATTAAATCCTCAGACCTTATTCATCTCATAGCTGAAAGTCTGTAACCTTTTACCAAACTTTCCTTATTTCCCCCAGCCTGCAGATTCTGACAACCACTTTTCTAATCTCTGTTTCTATGTTCGACTTTTCTTTTTTTAAATTAAAAAAAATTTATTTTGGCCGTGCTGGATCTTAGTTGCTGTGCATGGGCTTTCTCTAGTTGCAGTGAGTGGGGGCTACTCTTCGTTGCGGTGCGCAGGCTTCTCATTGCGGTGGCTTCTCCTGTTGCGGAGCACGGGCTCTAGGCGTACAGGTTTCAGTAGTTGCAGCACACGGGCTCAGTAGTTGCGGCGCGGGCTCTAGGGTACGCAGGCTGCAGTAGTTGTGGCACACAGGCTCAGTTGCTCCGCAGCATGTGGGATCTTCCCAGACCAGGGATAGAACCCGTGTCCCTTGCATTGGCAGGTGGATTCTTAACCACTGTGCCACCAGGGAAGTCCCATATGTTTGATTTATTTTAAAGATTCCACATATAAGTGATATGATGAAGTAATTGCCTTTCTGTGTCTGGCTTACTTCACTTAGCATAATGCCCTCAAGGTCCATCCATGTTGTTGCAAATGGCAGGATTTCTTTCTTTCTCATGGCTAAATCATATTACATATGTACTTTATGTATTGTTTATATTTATTATATAAATATAGATAGGTAGGTAGATAGATAGGTGTTTATGTATAACATATATTCCTTACCCATTTATCTGTTGATGGGCACTTAGGTTGTTTCCATATCCTGATCATTGTGAATAATACTGCAGTGAACGTGGGAGTGAAGATATATCTTTGATATCTTGTTTTCATTTCCTTTGGATTTATATCCAGAATTGGGATTGCTGGGTCATACAGTAGTTCTGTTTAATTTGAGGTGGAACTTCCATACTGTCTTCCATAGTGGCTGCACCAATTTACATTCCCACCAACAGTGCACAAAAGTACTCTTTTCTCCTCATTCTCACCAACAGTTTTTATCTCTTGTCTTTTTTTTTTTTTTTTTTTGTGGTACACGGGCCTCTCACTGTTGTGGCCTCTTCCGTTGCGGAGCACAGGCTCCGGACGCACAGGCTCAGCGGCCATGGCTCACGGGCCCAGCCGCTCCGCTGCATGTGGGATCTTCCCAGACCGGGGCACGAACCCGTGTCCCCTGCATTGGCAGGCAGACTCTCAACCACTGCGCCACCAGGGAAGCCCTCTCTTGTCTTTTTGATGATAGCCTTTCTAACAGGTGAGGTGATAACTCATTTTGTTTTTGATTTGCATTTCCCTGATGATTAGTGATGTTGAGCACTTTTTCATGTGCTGTTGACTATTTGTATGTCTTCTTTGGAGAAATGTCTATTCAGTTCCTCTGCCCATTTAAAAATCTGATTGGTTTTTTGCTTTTGAGTTGTATGAGTCCTTTACATATTTTGGACATTAACCCCTTATCAAGATATATGATTTGCAAATATATTCTCTCATTCGGTAAATTAACTTTTCATTTTGATGATGGGTTCCTTTGCTGTGCAGAAGCTTTTTATTTGATGTAGTCTCATTGGTTTATTTCTGCCTTTGTTGCCTTTGCTTTGGTGTCCAATCCAAAAAATCATTGCCAGTGTCAAGGAGTTTACCCCTATGTTTTCTTCTAGGACTCGTATGGTTTCAGGTCTTATGATCAAGTGTTTAATCCATTTTGAGTTGATTTTTGTGTATGGTGTAGGATAGAGGTCTAGTTTCATTCTTTTGCATTTGGCTGTCCAGTTTTCCTAACACCATTTATTAAGGAGACTGTCCTTTTCCCATTGTATATTCTTGGCTCCTTTGTGGAAAGTTAATTGACCATATATGCATGAGTTTATTTCTGGGCTCTCTATTCTATTCCATTGATCTATGTGTCTGTATTTATGTCCAATACCATACTGTTTCTGTGAAAATGCCGTTGGAATTTTGATAGAGATTGCATTGAATACCTATCAAACTGCTTTGGGTGTATGGATATTTTAACAACATTGATTCTTCTAGTTCATGAGCACAGAATACCTTTTCATTTATTTATGTCTTCTTCAATTTCTTTCAATTTTCAATTGATTGAAAATCAATCAGTCAGAATGGGCAAAAGTGTTAGGATTGGCCGACAAGTATATTCACCTCCTTGGTTAAATTTTTTCCTAGGTATATTATTCTTTTTGATGCAATTGTAAATAGGATTATTTTCCTAATTTCTCTTTTTAATAGTTTGTTCCTAGTGTATAGGAACACAACTGATTTTTGTATATTAATTTTGTATCCTCTACCTTTACTGAATTCATTTGTTAGCTCTAACAGTTTTTTTTGATGGAGTATTTATAGTTTTCTATTTATAACGTATCATCCACAAGTAGAGAAAATTTTTCTTCTTCCTTTCTGATTTGGATGACTTTTATTTCTTTTTCTTGCCCAGTTTCTCTGGCTAGGGCTTCCAGTAGTATATCAAATAAAAGTGACAAGAGTGGGCATCTTTGTCCTGTTCCTGATCTTAGAGGACGAGCTTTCAGCTTTTCACCATTGAGCATGATGTCAGCTGCCGGCTTGTTGTATGTGGTTTTTATTATGTTGAGGTACATTTCCTCTATACCCAGTTTGTTGAGAGATTTTATCATGAATGGATGTTGAATTTTGTCAAATGCTTTTTCTGCATCTACTGAAATGATTATATGATTTTTATCCTTCATTTTGTTATTGTGATGTATCGCATTGATTGATTTACAGATGTTGAACGATCCTTGCATCCCTGGAATAAATCCCACTTGATTGTGTACGATCCTTTTACTGTATTAGTGAATTTGGTTTGCTAATATTTGTTGAGGATTTTTGCATCTATGTTTATCAGGAATATTGGCCTGTAATTTTCTTTTCTTGTAGTGCTCTTGCCTGTATTTCGTATTAGGGTAATGCTGGCCTCGTAAGGTGAGTTTGGAAGTGTTCCTTCCTCTTCTAGTTTTTGGAAGAGTTAGAGAGGATTGGTATTAATTCTTCTTTAAATATTTGGTAGAACTCACCGGTGAAGCCATCTGGGCCTGGGCTTTTGTTTGTTGGGAGGTTTTTAAATTACTGATCCAATCTCCTTATTAGTAATGGAACAGTTCAGATTTTCTATTTCTTCATGATTCAGTCTTAGTAAGTTGTATGTTTCTAGGAATTTTCCATTTCTCCTAGGTTGTCCAATTGGTTCATATATAATAGTTCCTAGTGACCTCTTATAACCTTTTGTATTTCTATGGTATCAGTTGTAATGTCTCCTCTTTCAATTCTAATTTTATTTATTTGCGTCCTCTCTCTTTTTTTTTTTCTCGGTGGGTTTAGATAAAAGTTTGTCAGTTTTGTTTCTCTTTATTAAAAAAGAAAAAAAACCAGCTCTTAGATTCACTGATTTTTTTCTACTGTCATTATTCTCTA